TGGGGGATTTCAATGCTAAGAACTCTGCGTGGGGTGGTTCAACCACAAATGCTCGGGGTGCGGTATTAGAGGAGTGGGCCGTGACTATGGGGCTGAGCCTCCTAAACAGGGGTTCACGACCAACTTGCGTTCGGCCGCAGGGCAATTCTATCATTGACTTGTCGTTTGCCTGCCCTGCGATTGCGAGACGGGTGTACGGTTGGGAGGTAGTGGAGGGTGTGGAAACACTATCCGACCACCGTTACATCCGTTTCGCAATATCGGAGACGCCAACGGTCCCAGTACAGCAGGGACCGGAGTCGCTTCACTGTGACACCCCTCGGTGGGTGGTGAAGCGACTCAATAGGGAGTTACTTTCGGAAGCTGCCCAGGTCGAAACATGGACGCCTGCGGACAGCTCACTGAACATCGACGAGAGGGCTGCCGCGTTGCGTGCGTCGATGACTCGCGTATGCGACGCATCGATGCCGCGGCAAGGCCCCCCACCTAAGAAGAGACATGTGTACTGGTGGTCTGCAGACATAGCAGCTCTGCGCACTGCGTGCGTAGCTGCCAGACGCCAGTACCAAAGACAACGCCGGAAAAGACAAAGAGACGAAAGCACCGAGACGAGACTATATAACACCTATAAAGCCGCAAAACAAGAACTAAGTCGAGCGATTTGCGAAGCCAAAGATAGGGCGCGAGAGGAGATGATCGAGACCCTAAACCAAGATCCGTGGGGCCGCCCTTATCTGATGGTTCGAGGGAAGCTCCGGGCGCGGGCAGCACCTCTAACGCAGAGCCTCCAGCCCCAGCTGGTGCAGGGAGTGGTGGAGTCTCTCTTTCCCAACGGAGTAGCTCACACGCCGCCTTACAGGATTCTGAACACCGAGAATGAAAACCCTGGCTCCGTTGACGAAGAGGACATCCCACCGGTCACCCCTGGCGAGTTCGGGGCTGGAATTCACCGGTTGCGTGCCAAAAGGACGGCTCCGGGGCCTGACGGCATTCCGGGCCGTGCTTGGGTACTGGCCGCGGAAATTTACGAGGAGAGGGTTGTGGATCTGATGGGTGACTGCCTCGCGCAAGGACATTTCCCTCGGCTGTGGAAGAACGGTACCTTGGTCCTCCTCAAAAAAGAGGGAAGGCCAGCCGATTCTCCCGCAGCGTACCGACCAATAATCCTTCTCGACGAGGTGGCGAAGATTTTCGAGAGGATTATTGCCAATCGCCTAGTGAGACACATGGCGACGGTCGGCCCGGACCTGGATGCCAAGCAATTTGGCTTCAGGCCGGGCAGGTCCACCGTCCATGCGGTCATGAGAGTGAAGAAGATAGCGGAGGAAGCAGTTGCCCAGGGCGACGTCGTTCTTGCGGTGTCTTTGGACATCGCAAACGCGTTTAACACCTTGCCCTGGAACTGTATCATCGAAGCCCTCCGCTATCACAAAGTGCCGAGATACCTGCGTCGAATAGTGGCCGACTATCTTTCGGCCAGATCAATATCATACAGAAGTCGGGAGAAGTGGTGTTTACATGAAGTCACCTGTGGCGTTCCGCAGGGCTCAGTCCTCGGCCCCCTTCTATGGAATGTGGGCTACGACTGGGTGCTGCGGGGCGCCAACATCCAGGGGGTAGACATCACCTGTTATGCGGATGACACCCTAGTGACGGCGCGAGGAAGCTCGCACCGGGAGTGCGCGATCCTCGCGACGGCCGGGGTAGCCCAAGTGGTGGGCAGAATACGAGCACTGGGCCTCGAGGTGGCCCTGCACAAATCAGAGGCCATTTATTTTCACGGCCCTCGGAACAGGCCACCTCCGGGAGCCCACATTATCGTTGGCGGCGTGAATATCAACATCGATTCACAGATGAAATATCTGGGCCTCACATTGGACGGTAGGTGGACGTTTGAG